GTAAGTGATTCAGGAGCATGTACCTGATTCTAGTACCCTGTATCCTGTATCCTGTATCCTGAACCCTGAACCCTGTACCCTGTACCCTGTACCCTGTATCCTGTATCATGTATCCTGTATCCTGTATCCTGTATCCTGTACCCTGAACCCTGTACCCTGTATCCTGTACCCTGAACCCTGTACCCCGTACCCCGTATCCTGTATCCTGTATCCTGTACCCTGAACCCTGTATCCTGTATCCTGTACCCTGAACCCTGTATCCTGCATCCTGTACCATGAACCCTGTACCCTGTACCCTGTACCCTGTATCCTGTACCCTGAACCCTGTACCCCGTATCCCGTATCCCGTATCCTGTATCCTGTATCCTGTACCCTGAACCCTGTATCCTGTATCCTGTACCCTGAACCCTGTATCCTGTATCCTGTACCCTGAACCCTGTACCATGTAGTGCCATGTACCCTGTACCCTGTACCCTGTACCCCGTACCCCGTAAACTGTACCCTGTACGCTGTACCCCGTACCCCGTACCCTGTACCCCGTACCCTGTACACTGTACCCCGTACCCGTACTCTGTACCCTGTACACCGACCTCAAACGTTCTATCAACCAATCGACGAGCCAGATACAGTAAGTGACACGCTGAAACAACCGTTCGGTTTGTGGGCGTGTTCTTTTTGAACACGACTTGTTGACGCCGTAACGATTTTGATTGTATTATCAATCAAAGTTTAAATACATTCGATTTGTGAGTTCACCGATTCTTTTTTTAAACACCAGAAACGAAGATATCCACTGTGCAGTGATACAAAAACGTACAACAGAAAAAAATAATAATATTTGAACAGTATTTACTATTTACATCGTATCGAATGTATTGTGCTGTGAAAATACAGTTTACGGGGTACAGGGTACGGGGTACAGGGTACTAGAATCAGGTTCATGAACATAAAAGACAGATTCCAAGTGTTGCGTTGTGTATATCTTGGTAGGCCGGGCAGTCTGTAAACGGTCATTGCTGGTACCTGTTGTTCACGTTAAATAACTTGTATAAATAAGTATGATGCAGGCAATAATGTACCATTGCAAGTCGTTAGAGGCGACAAATAGAAATTTGAAGAGTTAAGTTTTTCTTACTTACAGGACATACAAAATTGACCATTCTGCCTCTACACTTAAACCTCAACATCTAGAAATACTGCTTATTTACAAAGAAGTCCAACCACTTGACGGGAAAGTAAAGATAGACCGTTACGAATTAACGAATAACTGTCCAACTTTACTTTGCTCCACTTGACGAGTAAGACTGCCCTTGTCTGTAAACCCTTTGTTAGACTGCCCTTGTCTGTAAACCCTTTGTTAGACTGTCCTTGGCTGTAAACCCTTTGTAAGACTGTCCTTGCACGGACTTAGAATCTAATTTTCGTGGTTATTGTAAATGCCGTGTCGTGGTGAGAAAGAGCAAGCTTATACCTGTCAGAGGATCTGCTGGACACGGGAAACGCTCCAAACTAGCTATTGTCCCAGTAAGCCTTATACATGTACCTAATCGGCTTGTATATGTGACATAAAGCAGTATTGTATATTACATGCCAATATTACGTCAGGACGTGACGTCACTCCGAGAAGAGTTGTACATTCCCTTTCATCATGTTATTTGCAATACTTATCCCCTACATAATCAAAAACATACAATTCCACCGACGAATTCGCACATATGTTCGCCGCTTACCCATACAATTCTTCAAACGTGGATAATTGATTTTAAAACTGAAAAGAGCCAACACTGAATAGCTAGTCATATTGATTAATTTGACAGCAGAGGTCCATTACACCCAAGCCTGTTACTGTTGACTTTATGTACTGTTTGTCTTTGTGATAGTTATTTCGTGGCCAGTGGTCAGGCTAGCAATGATTATCAGCTGATCTCGTCCAGCCAGACTCACCGTGATTATTATCATTATTTCTTTATTTCCTCCAAATTGAAGAGTTACAAAAATGTACAGTGTAGTCAAAAAACAAATCAAATATTATTAATTGATACTTAAATGCACATAAGTACATCAGTTAACTACAGAGATGAAGAGAGAAGTTAATGAATCTTGAATTAGTTTAGTCAATACAGTTCAGAAAGAATGGTTTCGTTAACAGCAAATCATACAAAATAATTAGAATGCCTGGGAATCCTGAGGTTTCCAAGGGTTAGGGAAAGCCCTACCAGCAAGGTCCTCTCAGGCTTACCCACACATAAACACATACAAAATAAGAGAAAAAAAAATAGTAATTAGGTAGACATTGCTATTGTACGTACATTTGTACGTGTTATTTCATTATTAACGCTGATACAACAGCAACATTTTGTCAATAAAAATAGCATTATGCAGTACAAAGGTTACATAATCAGATGAGCTTAATATGTGGGGAAGGCTACCCCCAAGTAATACATGAATTAAATCATAATTAGACAAAGAGTATAAGCCGTACTTATAAGACACCATAGATCGTCTCTAAGACTTTCAGTTTTTGTACAATGGAGTTTCTGGGTTAACAGTGGTCCTCTAACGGTCTGTCTCGTTAATACAAACTCGTGCTGTGATTCACATACCAAGAGAAAGTGCTGATTCAGAGCCGACTCCACTATCTGTGGCGGTGAGAACAAAATGGAATTTAAAATAGTAGTCAAAAACTCAGATTTAACCAACATAGTGTCCCGTGACTTAGCTCGCACATCTCGATAGCAAATCATTACCACAACAATAGAGGGGAATAAAGACAAATCTTCAAAAGACTTCTTTTTCAGTATGAGACTGATAATGGATTTGAACCAAAGGTCGGATGTGTGGGTGGGTGCGTGGTGGATGTGCGGGGTGAATGTGTGGGTGTGGGTGGGTGTGGGTGGGTGCGGGGTGGGGTCAGTGGGCCAAGGGGGCTAATAGGCCTCAACGTTGTAAAAACAAAGGTTGTGGCCCCATGGGGGAATAATTCCAAAACAACCTATCTCATTTCCATCAGAGTATTTAGCGTTGATTTTTGCACTAATGACATATTACTCCACAGTGTAGAATATAGCAATAACGGATCGCTTCGCCCTTTTCCGTTGCAGGCTCAAAAAGAACGGAAATGGCCGAGCGTCGTCCGATTTGAGGACGTAGAGGACGTCGTTAGTGAGGACGTGGAGGACGTCGTTAGAGAGGACGCGGAGGACGTCGTTAGTGAGGACGCGGAGGACGTCGTTAGTGAGGACGAGGAGGACGTCGTTAGAGAGGACGCGGAGGACGTCGTTAGAGAGGACGCGGAGGACGTCGTTAGTGAGGACGTGGAATCAACTACCATCGTCAGTTGTGACAGCACCATCTGCTGATGCCTTCCACCACAGCATCAGCAAGATCCTGCTGACATCCACACTCAACTAGACAGAACATGATATATCTGTTTTTAACTCGTTTTAATTGTACATTGGCTATCGTGGATAGTTTTTACCTCCCGCTATATGCGCAAACTGAAGAAGAAGGAGAAGAAGAAGAAGATTTATCTCATCTTAGTCTCTGACGGTAGCTAAATGGACACAGCATTCCAAACATATTACGTTATGTTTGTAAACAGGAACGCTGTTTTCACACGCAGATATTCATTTTCCATGCAAAATAATTATCAGAATGCAAGCGAGACTTTTACACATACAAGCGGGTATATCTGAATTAATACACGGAATATGTACAGGTATTATATTGTGTTAGCTAAGAAAAAGGACAGAAGATATAGACTAGTAATGTTTCCTCTTACGAGAAACATGCTACCTCATGTGAATTTCCATCTCAATTGTGTCGGAAAAAATCTTGACGATAAAACCTGTCAGTCTTGTGCTGTCTATCTTGAATGTTGTCTCAGCACTTTTGACCATGAGGAATTTGTAATCAGCGCAAAATCAATTCGTAACCTTAAAAAAATACAGTGTTTCACTGATTGAAATAGAATACAGTTTTTAAGATAAACCCATTGTGTCTGTAAGCAGAGGGATGTGGCAAAATAAGGGAAACAAGTCCTGGAGAAGAGATTTGAACCAGAGATGATGAGCCGCTTTGGGGACACAGAGATTCGGGGACAAACGAGTCCTTCTTTACCAGGTTTAATTAACCTAGCGAATGTTAACACAAATATGAAATGAATCCATTCCATGACCTGTAGTTATTTATGCTCATTTGAATTCAAAGGCGGCATATACAATATTATACGTCTCTGAACTACCCAGAAATGTATAAAGTTTACTCTCAGATTCCTTATGACTAATTTTTATATAACTTGATACAAGTGCTCCTCTTTTGTTCCCGAGTAAGATCACGTCTTGGGGGTACGTATATACCAAGTCAGATAGTATAAAGAACTGATCAGCAGGTCTATACCACTAGCACTAATGGTGTTGAGGACTGTGCTTCTGGTGTTAGGGGATATGGTGATGGTGAGTAGAGGACTAATCGTAAGGTTGTGGGACCCATGGCAAAACACTTATCAAAATGAGATTGAAACAATTCAGAGAAGAGCTGCTAGGTACGTTCTAAACACACTGACCGACACGGTAAACCCCCTGATTGGCCAACCCTCCAACCCTCCAACCCTCCAACCACGCAGAAATCTTTCCTCATTAATCATGCTTTACAAAATCATTCACGGCCTAGTAGCAATTGAAAAAGACAACTTATTTTAAAATATGTTTCCCTTTGTGTCGTTAAAAACGGGCTTTTGACAGGATGCACAGAAAAGATCTTCTCTGTTTATGTGTGTATGTGTGTGTATCATATTGTATTTTTGTAGACTTAAAGTAATATTTCTGTGTTTAACCAGAGACGTATAATCTGGTTTAACGAAAATCTCTCAAATAAACAGGTTCTGTATAGAGGACTAATTGCCTTTATGGCATAGCGCGAGATAAGTGAAAATGACAATACATGCTGCGCGCGCATAAATACCCGTGTGACCGGTTTTGGTATTGTTAGTCCAGTCCGATCTCAGGCGGGTCAGCAGCTCGGAGTGTCGTAGAACGGAGGTAAGTGTTTATAATAACTATAAAACCATTGCAATTAGTACTGCATACAGCTATTTTATAGCTATATATTTTTGTAATGGTCATCCCGATTATTTTCTATCGTTTAGAAATATGTTTCATTTTGCATCAATATCAATTGCCGCTTTGCACCCCAAAATGAATAAAAATATCTTTACCTTCGATCTTGTACAATATAAAATATTTTCCACTTTGTACAAAATATCTTTATAATATCAAAACAACTGCTCACCCTATACAATTATCTTTGTTAATTTCAACATTGGTCAAATCACGGAATTAGATTATCTAAGTCCGTGGTCAAATGAAATGAAACAATTAAATGTGAACCTGTGGTTGTGAAGAGACAAATATTGATTATTAGGTTTATTGTTAACGTTGGTAATTTTATGTCTTTGTTATGAAATTAAATTATTACATGTATATAAGACAAAGATGTGTAGAAGGTTGTTTTTTAAGACAAAAATTTATTTAAAGACTTTTAGTGTAACAAAATAGATATGACATTCATTAGCAGGTGACAGTGAATATTGTCAAACCTCAAAAACCCATTGTCACCCTCGGATTCACCTGGGGTGACATTGGTTTTCTCAGGTTGACAATGTTCACTGTCACCTGCTAATGAATGTCATATTTATATATTATCATCTGAAAAACCACTTCCATTTGAAATACCTCCGTCCATCCATTTACAAAATATCGTTATCATCTCAAAAACAATTGCCCATCATATCAAAAACATCGTTACCATCTCGAATATAACTGTAGACCCTATATAAATTATCACTTCAAATCTTGAATACCACTGGGGCTGCCCACTCCATAAAAAGTATTTCTGCTGTCTGAAATACCACTGGGGCTGCCCACTCCATAAAAAGTATTTCTGCTGTCTGAAGTACCACTGCCCACTCCATAAAAAGTATTTCTGCTGTCTGAAATACCACTGCCCAGCCTATACACAATATCTGTACCATCTGAAATGCCACTGCCCAGCCTATACACAATATCTGTACCATCTGAAATCCCACTGCACAGCCTATACAAAATATCTGTACTATCTGAAATACCCCTGCCCAGCCTATACACAATACCTGTACCATCTGAAATACCACTGCCCAGCCTATACAAAATAATTGTACCATCTGAAATACCACTGCCCAGCCTATACACAATATCGGTACCATCTGAAATACCACTGCACAGCCTATACAAAATATCTGTACTATCTGAAATACCACTGCCCAGCCTATACACAATATCTGTACCATCTGAAATACCACTGCCCAACCTATACAAAATATCTGTACCATCTGAAATACCACTGCCCAGCCGATACAAAATAACTGTACCATCTGAAATACCACTGCCCAGCCTATACACAATATCTGTACCATCTCAAATACCACTGCCCAGCCTATACAAAATATCTGTACTATCTGAAATACCACTGCCCAGCCTATACACAATATCTTTACCATCTGAAATACCACTGCCCACCCTATACACAAAATCTGTACCATCTGAAATACCACTGCCCAGCCTGTACAAAATATCTGTACCATCTAAAATCCCACTGCCCAGCCTATACACAATATCTGTACCATCTGAAATCCCACTGCCCAGCCGATACAAAATAACTGTACCATCTGAAATACCACTGCCCAGCCTATACACAATATCTGTACCATCTGAAATACCACTGCCCAGCCTGTACAAAATATCTGTACCATCTAAAATACCACTGCCCAGCCTATACAAAATATCTGTACCATCTGAAATACCACTGCTCACTGCATACAAAAAACAACTATAATCTCAAATACCACTGTCAACCCTACACAAATTATCTGTACCATCTCAAATACCACTGCCCACCCATATACAAAATATCACTACCATGTCAAAATACCACTGCCCAGCCTATACAAAATATCTGTACCATCTCAATTACCACTGTCCAGCCTACACAAACTATCTCGGCCATATCAAATACCACTGCCCACCCTATAAAACATATCTGTATCAACTCAAATATCACTGTCCACCCTATACAAATTATCTCGGCCATATCAAATACCACTGACCAACATATACAAATTATCTCGGCCATATCAAATATCACTGTCCACCATATACAAATTATCTCAGCCATATCAAATATCACTGTCCACCATATACAAATTATCTCGGCCATATCAAATACCACTGACCACCATATATCAGTTATCTCGGCCATATCAAATACCACTGTCCACCCTATACAAATTATCTCGGCCATATCAAATAACACTGCCCAACCTATACAAATGATCTCGGCCATATCAAATACCACTGACCACCCTATACAAATTATCTCGGCCATATCACAAACCACTGCCCACCCTACACAAATTATCTCGGCCATATCAAATTCCACTGCCAACCCTATACAAATTATATCGGCCATATCAAATACCACTGCCCCCCATATACAAATTATCTCGGCCATATCATACCACTGCCCAGCCTGTACAAAATATCTGTACCATCTAAAATACCACTGCCCAGCCTATACAAAATATCTGTACCATCTAAAATACCACTGCCCAGCCTATACAAAATATCTGTACCATCTGAAATACCACTGCCCAACCTATACAAATTATCTCGGCCATATTAAATACCACTGCCCACCCTATACAAATGATCTCGGCCATATCAAATACCACTGACCACCATATATCAGTTATCTCGGCCATATCAAATACCACTGACCACCCTATACAAATTATCTCGGCCATATTAAATACCACTGCCCACCCTATACAAATTATCTCGGCCATATTAAATACCACTGCCCACCCTATACAAAATATCTGTACCATCTGAAATTCCACTGCCTAGCCTATACAAAATATCTGTACCATCTGAAATTCCACTGCCTAGCCTATACAAAATATCTGTACCATCTAAAATACCACTGCCCAGCCTATACACAATATCTGTACCATCTGACCAGCCTATACAAAATATCTGTACCATCTGAAATTCCACTGCCTAGCCTATACAAAATATCTGTACCATCTGAAATACCACTACCCAGCCTATACACAATATCTGTACCATGTGAAATACCACTGCCCAGCCTATACACAATATCTGTACCATGTGAAATACCACTGCCCAGCCTATACACAATATCTGTACCATGTGAAATACCACTGCCCAGCCTATACAAAATATCTGTACCATCTAAAATACCACTGCCCAGCCTATACAAAATATCTGTACCATCTGAAATACCACTGCACAGCCTATACAAAATAATTGTACCATCTGAAATACCACTGCCCAGCCTATAAACAATATCTGTACCATCTGAAATACCACTGCCCAACCTATACAAATTATCTCGGCCATATCAAATACCACTGCCAACCCTATACAAATTATATCGGCCATATCAAATACCACTGCCCACCTTATACAAATTATCTCGGCCATATCAAATACCACTGCCAACCCAGAATAAAATATCTCTGCAACTAAAATATGCCATTGCCCACTCAATATAAAAAATCTCTACCATCTTAAATACGACCCTACAGCTACGTGCCATAGGTTATCACTTGTTATTTGGAATATGATTTTGTTGGATGTTGTTTTCTCTTTTTGTTTTCACCAAGTTCACAAGCCTCCTAAAATAGTTTATTTTTGATAAAGAAAATTTAGTGAATTTAATGCTTCACTGAAATCAATTATTTCAATGTGTGCAATATACTCTAAAATCTTAAACATGTATAACCTGGTTATGAAATATGACATGGTTGAATTGACACTTGACAACCCAACTTTAATCAAGTTAATTATCTAAAAGAGATAATTCTGTTACTGTTCAGAATGGTGGAACCCCAAACCAATCGTGTAAGGGATCAACCAAACTTGATCATAGAAATGCCAAGAACTAATATGGACTTACAGGTCTTTTGTGTGATGTTTATCTTTCTGGCCATTATTGATACAGAATATTAGGGGTATACTAGGTGTGGTACAGCTTGTATTTAGGGTCGGCAATTCATGATCAGCGGTCAACCTTTCATACTCCAAACCGACCGTGGGCTTTTAAAAGCTTGAAGCACAACAGGTTTGACAACATAAAGAATTTCTTAAATCCTGTTTTGCCAAATCTATCCCTATGTACAATGAAATCCTATATACACACAGTTTAAAAATAGAACTTTTAAGAAAGTCTACCTAATGTAAGTGCTGATTGTTGACTGGGCGTTGTTTGGAGGCACTGGTGTAGACAGGTCCAGTACACTACTGAGTGAGCTACATAGCTTTAAAGACCTTTGGCTATATCCACCTTTAATTTACAGCTGTATCGAGCTTGGTTCTTTAAGTGGTCAGTTTTTGGAAAGATTTATCAAAAGTCCCATACAACTATAGGTTCCATTGCAATGTTAAGTACAAAATGCATACAGTTACTTTCTTAATTTTTTTAATGTAAAATTTCTTATTTGTTTACATCAAAGGAAAATAAAAAATGCTTTTATTTGGTGTCTTTTGAAATCAAAATAGTGATAACATATACTTTTTAATGAAAATCAGTGTTGTTTTCTTTTATTAAGAAAATTGTATGAAAAAATAGCTCAAAACACTTTTTTCAGGTACGTTGATATAGTTAATATAGGTCATTACAGCTACATAGCTCAATCAGCAGAGTGTAGCTAATATAGGTCATTACAGCTACATATAGCTCAATCAGCAGAGTGTAGCTTCTATAGGTCATTAGTTTAGTTTAGTTTTTTATTTCCGAATGCAAATCAGCATATAGGTTAATTGATACATAGAATACAAAACATATTTCAAATTTTCAAGATGGCGGAGGACAATTCCATATAAGCAATTATCACATAAAAAGAATACATAATTTAGCAATATTACTACACGAGGGTTTTTCTTTTGGCGGTAGCATATTTTAAATACAGACCCAATCTACG